TATTATTAGATTTCAAATCAGCAATTTATATTAGAAGTTAGAGAAAAACAAATTAATCATGATCATTTTTCTAATATATTCTTGATATGATTTGTGAGATTCTTTTACAGCCCTCAATAGTGTTGTGGTGATCTTCAACACCCCTCCATAATTTCGAATGGTATCTTTGATTAGTCTAAGAGACATAATAGTATTTTCATGGTGATTGCTTATCAAAGCATTGCTTTATTTATCAAAAAACGTCTCTCAGGATCAGAATTCCCATGTGGCAAAATTAAAACACAGTTTTAATTAATGTAGTTAAATTCTTATATTTTAGATTATTGCTTTTTTATTTATATTTAGCCTATAACTCTAATTTTTTAGGAACCCCAACAAAATTTTATCAGATTTTTAGGAATTTTAGGGTTTGCACATAGTTTTAGGAATTTTATGGGGAATGCGACCCCTGATTTTAAAATCGCGTGAATAAGAATCACAATGCTGAATTTTAAGATCGCGATGCTGAATTTTAAGATCGAGTGAATAAGAATTGTGATGTTGGATTTTAAAATCGCGTATAAATACCAAATCAATGTTTGATATTACAACTGCGTGATAGCGAATCACAATATTGAATTTTAAAAATATGTGAATATGAATTGCGACACTGGAATTTAAACTCGCGGGAATACGAATCGAGATATTGGGTTTTAAAAATGCTTAAATACAAATCACGATATTGGATTTTTAAATTGCGTGAATGGGAATTGCAAGTACGATTTTTAAATCGCATAAAAACGAATTGCAACAAGTAACTTTTAAATCAGTTAAATACGAAAATCGATGATTTGCATAAAAATCGTCTGAATAAGGATCACAATTTTAGCAAGTTCTGTCGCAGTTCCTAATATTAAAAATTCTGAAAATCAGCCAAACAAAAAACAATCAAATATCAGCGACCGAAACGAAACTGCTAAGAACTCTTTTAACAATCTACAGCTGAAGTTGCGGTTGTCAGGAGGTTACTGCAGGGGGGAAAAAGTGCGTCTCAAGTTTGGTTTGACTATCGTTCGACTGCTTGGGTTTCTCTCATTGGACTCCCCAAAAATTTAAAATTTTTGGAGCATGGTCGGAAATTTTAAAAAATTGGGAGAAAAAAAAGCGGATTTCCGCTTTTTCACGGAAGTCTCTCATCCCTGTATATTACTTCATCGTTTTATCTTTTAAAGATTATTTCCACTTCTTTTTTAGTTGGGTTTAACAATAAAAAAAAACGGCTTTTTGTAAAAAATCAGTTATCAGGATTAGCGATGGTCCCGGATAATCGGTTCCCTACTGTATTACTTGCAAAATAAAATATGAAGTCTACAATAATAAGGTAAATGTTTATCAGAGGGAATCTCATAATTTTACACAACTGAAGGTTGAATTCGTTCTGAAAAAAATTCACTTATTTTACTTTTCTTCATAAATAATTTAAATTTAACCACTCGTTCATAATAATTCTTGCTCATAAACTCGATCATAATTAATTATAAAAATAATAACTTCCTCAACTGTTGGAAATGATAAAAACTACAAATCTTAAATGTCTCAGTGAAACCAAGCAACAAATTGACAAAGACCAATGGAATAACGAATGTTTTTATTTTTTTTAAATCTATTTTCGTATCTACTCTCGTTGCATCAACTTTTGCCTTGCCATTTTCTTTTTAGATAACTTCTTTTTGGGTGCATCTTCTTCAGCTGAGGGCTTTGCAACTACCTGCTCTTTCTCAGTCAATATAACTTCAATGTGGGAAGGGCTACTCATGTAAGCTGATAAAAGAAAGAAAAATTATTTTAAAAAAATTTTTATACTTCAAAATCTTAGAACTACTCATAAATTTAAGTAATAATCCAAAATACAGAATTGCTTGGTTGTGAACAGAGGGAGGCTGGAAAGGAACTAAAATAAATATTACAAAATAAAAATTACTCGACCGTTGTCTACTTCAGAATCTTATTACCTGTTGAATTTTCTTTGGTTACATTTTTTAGAAACAGTCAATTGAAGATTTATAAATCATAAAATTTGCTAGTAAATTGCATACTCTATACAATATATATATATTTTTTTAAAACAATCTAAGCATGCCTAAAAGATTTTATATGCAGAAGAAAATTGCAAAAAATGCGATTTTTCTTAATATTTTAAAACAAATTTCCTACATAACTGTATAGTTCCAATACAGTAAGTTGATGGTACCACAATTTAACCAAATAAAATGTCACTTAAAAAATTACCCCAGTTTTATAATTTTGATGAAATTTCTTTATAAATACCTCAATCATGTCAGTAAATTAAAATAGGATAAAAAAACCACTTTATTTGATCTGAGTAGAAATTCATCCTGCTGACAAAAGCAAGATACCCAAGGTTTACTGGATTTAACATAATATGAAAAACATATATGAGCCTAAGGAATCAAAATCAGCCTGGTATCATGTTGACAGAGTCACTTTTTAGAATGCAACCGATTACTACATTTACCCTGAGATGTGTCTATTCAGATATCTTTCTATATGACATTTTAATTAGGGTGACACTTTTCTTTCGACTAGCTGTACTCGAAAATGAAAATGTTTCCTGATGATTGCATTAGATGAAGAAAACAGTCACAGATTTATAATTATAGTGTTAGCAAACTAGTCTCACTAGCGTACATATTTTTTAGGTAACATTTACCCATGTTCTGAGACCCTCTGTAGATTATAGTATCTTGCAAGGGAAAAAAATCCCAGTACTCATGGACAAATAACAGTAATATGTTTAAAAAAAAAAAGGGGACGTCAGTGAGTGTTTGATTTTGTCCCATAACAGAGAATGATGACTTTTAGCATACATAGCTGTTATGCACACCGCTTATTGAGTGGAGGAAAACCATGAATCTACGGTCTTTGAGATTTGCAGAATTCCCCAAAATAATTAGCAGAAGAATCAAATGCCTTGAACTATTGTTCTAACAATCATAAACTAACTACCAATCTTGGATTTCAATGGATGACTTCAAATATGATAATCAATGCAGACAATAACCTAAGTTACCATATTAAACAAATAAAATACATATTAGACAGACTCTAAAAAACTTGTGGTATATCTTGAGAACATTCTAAGAAACTCGAAAATTATCTGCAAGCAATTATAAAATTCGTTTATCCAAAGATAGTTCCATGCAAAATAATAACTTTTAATAAACATTTTTCTTATTACTTAATAACAGCTGAAAAAATTTTGAATTTATCATCCCCGTTGCAGAATTTTATCGGGCTTTCTGCGACACACCTCTCTTGCATAATTATCTTTCTACAAGATACTTTTAATAAAACCAAAATTCTTTACTTCAAATGTGAATAGAAAAATCACAAGTGTTTTTACCCCCCACCAAAAAACAAGGAGGAAACATCTTTTGAATATAATTCTGGCGGAAAAAAATCTTTCAAAATTTTTTACAGAACTAAAACTATATATATATTTTTTTTACTTTATTATTCTTTAATTTTTCATTATTCTTAAATGAGAATAGAAAACCAAGAGAATTTCTTTTTCATCCGATGAGCGGGAAGGCATGTTTTGAATATATCTGCAAAAAAGAAATCTTCCAATAATTTCTGCAGAAAATAATAACAAGTTAAAAAACCAAAGGAAAGACCTCTCTGCAGCAATTCTGCCACTAGGTACAGAATCATAAGGTATCATATTATTTTGCATCATTTTAAAAACAGATTTACATGGCAAAATACAAAATTTGAGCAAAACTGGTCGAATAGTTCTGGAGAAAAATTAGAATTAACATTAAAGGGTCCAAACCTTGGAGCCTTGACCAAATCATTGAAACCATACTTGCCAGATGACCTAAATATTTTGGGGGATCAGAAATTTAAATCAGTTGGGGAAAAAAAAGGTATGTTCATTCAGAGAAAGTATGTTTTGTGTCTGATTTTGTAACCTAAAATATTACAGGCACTTAAATTAGCATATTTAAGGTCATTCTCATGATCAATAGCAATTAAGGACGGTCACTTTTTTTTCCACACTGTATGATTGAAAAGTGAAATATCTCTTTTAAAGAAAAAATAAGAGCTATAAATTGGAANTTGACACTACATCACGCACTATGTTAGGAAAAGCAATGAAAATAAAAAATATATAGCTTGAAGTTATTATTTCTTTATTTACATTAAGTTACTCTTTTACACATTTATATTTCATATCAAATAAACCAATTTTTATATATATTCTGAATATTGACAAATTTGTTTTGAAAATTCAAATTTTATTATTTCTAAACTCTTTTTGTCATTTTGCTCAGTTATTCATCACAATTATTTAAATGACTAAAAAAATTAACCTTTTAATTACGCAAACTATCTTATTTTAATTCATTGATCTACTATTTAAGTAAAAATCTTCAATTCCTCCCTGCATATTCCACTTTGTGGTCATCTTAATTTTCATAAAGGAATCATATTGTTATGAATCACTTGCTTAACAAGAGTACCTGGAACAGATTTGTTGAGCCTGTTACAGTGAGATTTTAAGAGATTTACAAAAGCATGACCAATAAAAAGTAGTCAAAATTGGCATGGGGGAAAAAAAACATTGGGTGCAGATGCACAACAAATTTGTTCCATAACTTTCTATAAATTTACATCTTAATTTTGACACAGTATTGATAAGATTATTAACGCCCTGAGAACTAATTTTTAAAAACTTAATAATAGCTTGTTTTCATTACATACACAGGCAAGGATTAACTCTTTGCTTACGGTGCTTAGTATAATGAAGCCTGCCAGTTTAGTCCATATGCTATACTGGCCGTAAGCAGAAGATTAAACTAATAAAAATTAATAAACACATTTTATGGAAAATTATAACAATTACACAACCAAAAACTTCCAATAATTATTACTGCAATCACCACATGAAAACTATTTACCTGAGCTTTCCTACCAACTGTGCCATTAAATCTGCGAAATGGAACTATTTCTTTTTTAGAAATAACATTTTTTAAATAGCGCTGAGCACGACGAAGAGGCATCTTTTTGATAGCCTGGGCTGTTTCTCTTGTGTTCTGAAATAGAAAAAAAAAATTTAATCAATACAATAATAAACCTATACACCACAGATTGTATTTATATTTCTTAGGCAGCCTTTGAAAACTCTTTTGCTAAGTTTAAAACAAATTTAATTTTAGTTAGCTTATAAGTCGTCAAAAACAATTAAACATAATTTTTAATCCATCGACACAGTAACTTATACAGAGAGCGTAGCCAATATTTTCAACATAAAATAAGCACTTTTTAAGCACTCAAAAGATTTTTAAGCACTTGATATGTACACTAATAAAAATGTTTTCCTCTTATTGTTGAAAATTCTTCATATATACACTAACAAAATACAAAATTTATTTTCATAGACTTAATATGATCACGATAAAATAACTAGTTTCTGGCATAGAACCCTTTTCTTGATAATTTTGGCCACTACAAACAGAAATTACACACAATTTTAAATATATTCAATATTGAGTGGCTCATACATTTATTAAACTAATAATTAATATAATTCTGCAAAAAATTTTATAATAAAATTCTAATTAATTTAACAATTGCTAAAGGTTATCATTTTTTAAATTTAAATAAATGTTATTTGTAATAGTATATTCAACAAAACATTAACAAGACTAATATTATTGATCATACCGAATTTAAAAAAATATGTAAAGAATTGAGAAAACTTTGATAAATTTATAATATAAATGAAAATTAGTGATTGACTCATAACAAATTATCAATAAAATTCGTTACTTGGTTCAGTATTTCCTTAATGAAATGATTAAAAAAAAATTTTTCAATACTGAAATGCAAATACAATGAGTGTTGAAGCTAAACATTTTTGTCAGAAAATAATAAATGGTCCCTTCACTCATAATATTTAACAAATCCGAGATATTTTTTTTTTCATATTTCAATTGTTTTTTTTTTTTTTAAATCATATCATTATGAGATGAATTGAAAGTATTTTGGAATGATAAATCTGAATAACAAGATTTTTTTCTGCATTTAAAGTATTGAGAGCACCTTCTCTCTTCATACGTGTTTAAAATCCTGCTTCTAAATATTAAGTTTTTTCATAAACAAATTAAGGCACTGAAAATTTTGAAAGTAGGTAATGATACAATAAAAGAAAGTAATAAGTAAAAAAATATAATAAAAAAGTAACTATAAAGTATAAGCAATAAAGATTAAATTAGTGGATGGTCCCTCAGATAAAACATGTAACATTTAAGAAATTCAATTTGAGATGATGAAGCATTATGATTGACTGCCCCGAGAACCTGCATGAAAATATGTACCGAGTGAATGGTCCTCAAGTCAAAGCTCATGTACCGATCAACAAATAGAATAGAGCAAGGTCTTTAGCTTGCCATTGACAAAGGCACTTCACCAAATTATTTGACTATGTTTAGTTAGCCCACATAGTCATCGAAAATTCAATTGATTTTTTTAGTTTCATTTCTGAAAGCGGAAAATGAAGCCTGAAATCGAGAATATGTTGCAAAATGCAGCAGAAAAGTTGCACAAGAATCCTTCCCACTGAACCCAGCTCAGTATATACACACATATTTAATCAAACATGTAAAATTATCGACACTTTCATACACTACAGACCAACAAAACGCCCAAATGGATTGTGGTTGCTTGAATAGTGAAAACCGCGCTTTTAGCACGGCAAAAATTGACACAATAAAGAAATTATATATCATTTTAGATAGAGAAAAATTTTAAAAATGCTATGCACCCTGTTATATTAGAAATTCAGATAAAATTATGAAAATTATTAAAACACATTGCTTGCAAGTTTACATACCTACACAAGCTAGAAAATAAATAAATATATCAGAAATTAAGCTTACTTTAAAGTGAACTCTGAGGTTTGAACCACGAGCCTTGCATGCTAAAAATTAAAAAAAATGTTAATTTAATGAACATATTGTCAACATTGATTTTTTTACAAACAAACATTAAGATATAACTTTTGTAAAATAATTTATTTATAAAAAAATTAAGTCAGAATTATCATATACTGAAAGTATTTTCATTTTCCCAGAAACTAAACAAACATTACATGATTATTATGTTTGCTCAATCTGATCATAAGTATTGGCAATATATATCATTTTAATTTCAGTTCATAAATTTAAAATAAAACATATCTGAAACCACTTTAAATATAAAAATAAAGTTTTAAAAAATATTGATAAA